TAAGATGTAAGTACAACTCCCCCGGTTTCATATGCCAAAAAACTTATTGCATATGTAGAACACCACGAGACAAACATTTGTAACTGCACAGAAAATTCCAAGATTTATATCAGTGACTTTCAGTAGAGATTTGAGTAGCTCCAATGGCATTTGTTTTCATGCACATTGTCTTCCACTGACAGAAAAGATAAGATAATGGCGATAAAATGGATTCCTTTCAGTCAGCAACAAAAATCAACATACGTGTTCAAAAGAAAAAAACATCTGATAAGAGCAAACAAAACGAACATCCAGTCTGACTCGTGCAAATGTTTTACTGAAGTCCGACTAGTGAATTCCTGAAATATTCCCGTTTCTAATGTTGTGCATAGTTACTGTCACATGGCTACCTTCAGTTTGCGTTTACTGATAGAGAAGTAGAAAGTGAAATATAGATAAAAAGAAGAAGACTATTCAAAAGCAGCCCTGGCGGAGTCCATCACCCACACGGAACGAGTCCGACTTAATGCCGGCTATGCGGACCAAGCTCTTGGAAAGGTTGTATGTGGATTGAATGGCCCATAGCAATGATTTAAAAGGGTAAATGTAAAGATGTCAGCACAGATTCTGTGATTGTCCTGCTTTTGGTTTCCTCTGTGCAGGATATCAAACCGTGGCTTTTTCAGGTTTCACCTGCAGCGAGTTTAAGAGCACTCTTATTGAGCAAATGCCTCCCCCTGCTGGCTGATGAAGGTACAAACAGTTTAAGGGAAATTATCTTGTAAGACACTTTCAAGTAAATTTAATTAATTTGATACCTCGTTAAAGGCCGTCTTAAAGCTAAAAGTTATTTCACTTTACTTTAAACAAGTTAAATAACCATGGGGACAAGTTATTATAGTTAATAAAGCAAACTAGAAACTGAAAATCTAAAAATAAAAGTGAGAATAAATAATGCTGAAAAACACCCTAAAGAGCAGACTAAAAGCTAACTCAGACAAACATAGATTTGCATAGTTTCAAAACAAAGCAGGAATTTAAAGGTAAATGTGTTTAGCTGTTTGGTTTCTGTCAGATTTGTAGAAACGGATTCAAACACACATTAAAGACACTTTAATGTTTGTTTCCCTTTATTTAGACTCAGACTAGGACGTTGAAATCACTGTCATCATTCAGCTGTCTTTACAAATGTGACGTTTGTGGATTTTTAAATCAGAAACATACAGAGAAATGTGTGCTTCCTGACATAAATAACACGTGAGATCTGCAGTAAAAAACAGTTTACAAATATTTTAAATTTTATATAACTGTTATGAATCAAACACAATTTGAATTTAATGCAAATTTTTTCAAAGAATTATATTCACCTGTCAGTCACAACAACTTAACAGAAGAACACAAAGTGCAACGTTTAAAAGCAAGAAGTCACTGTAAATTAACATAAGAAAGCATACAAAAGCATCACAGAATTTTAAAACAGCACTCATTATAAAACACACAGAATAAAAAAAAAATATATGCAGCTGCAATATTTGATGAAATGTTGAAACTGTATGATTTCAGAATCACAGTAAAAAATATGTTCTTCACTCATCAAAAAAAGATAAAAAAAAAAATAAAAAAAAAACGACTTTGGCACCATTAAAGAAACACATTTTACAGACTTTTAAAGATACTTTTCAAGATATAAGTCTGAAAGAGAAAGATAAAATACAGTCATGTCTCCTTTTTCATTGTCCTCTTACAGGAAGCGTGCTAATGCAATTTGTCTTTACGAACATTTTATAATGGAAAATTAACAAGAATGAGGTCCTTGAAATCATGCACTTGGAAAACCATTGTTTAAAATTTTAAGTATCTTATCTTCTATGAATTACAAGTGACAGGGTTAAACTCTGAAACTGGTCGTAATGTGCATTGTTTTTATTTACTTTTCCTATTCATTTTATTATATTCTTAGAAAACAAAACAAAACATAACTAAAAATAGATGCATCGCACAAAAGCATGTTTAAAATTCTAATTGAAGTAGTAACCACACATTTGTTTTTTGTTTTTTAAATCAATGTTGATGTACAGTACTGTGTTCACACTGGCCAATTTGCCCTTTTTATGTTATAGAAAAAGCCCTTTAACTTGCACAGCTACACTGTCAGTCAAAAGTTCTCACCTTCTCATTTCATGGATTTTCATGATAACTTACATTGTAGAGTCTCACTGAAGGCATCAAAACTATGAATGAGCACATATTTAGTAAACACAAAAAGTGTGAAATAGCGCAAAACATGTTTTATATTTTAGATGATAAAACATGTTTTATTTTAGATAGCCACCCGTTGCCTTGGTTACTGATTTAAACACTCTTGGCATTCTCTCGATGAACTTCATGAGGTCATCACCTGAAATGGTTTTCCAACATCCTGTTCATTCCTTGTGTTTCTTGGACCAATAAATCTCTTCTGCTTGTTGCTTTTCCTTAGTAGTGGTTTCTCTTTACTTAGAATTCATATCATGACAAGAACCATCAGCTAATGGTTGTCAAATGGGAATGTCAGCCATGTACCAATCTGACTTCTGCACAACACAACTGATGATCCCAACCCTGTTAAGAAGCCAAGTTCCACAAACGAATCCTGACAAGGCACCTGTGAAGTGAAACCATTTTAGGTGACTACATTATGAAGCTCATAGAAAGAAGGCCAAGGGTTTGCAGCAGTATCAACCAAGCAAAAGGTGGCTACTTTCAGGAATCTGAAATATTAGACACATTTAGAGAATTATTTTCTTTGCTACATGATTCTGTATATTTTGCGTAAAAATATCTGATGTCTTCAGTTTGTACCCACAATGTAGAAAGTAGTAAAACTAAAGAAAAACCATTAAATGAGACGGTCAAAACTTTTGACTGACAGTATATATTTAAAGTGTTTTATCAGATACTTTTAAGACCAACATACTGTTTTTGGATTTTTCCCAGCCCTTTCCCTGCTGACCCTATATATACGCAAACATGCAGGTAATTGCTTCACTTTCTCCACACGACTTCTGCAAAAACAAAGTCATAGAATACCCATTCAGTTTAAACCGAGATGCCCGCAAAAGATTTTGTCAAGCTCATGGAGAAACTTAAACTCTGAACTGGCAGCATCACCTTTATTCCTCACAGTGTCGATAACAAAACGAGCCTTTTCCCTTTTGTTTTGCTTCGCATCTGCTGCCTCCCTCTCTGCATCAGTTATCGCCTTTTTCTCCAGCAGTTTGTCGATCAGGCTGTTGAGATTAGGTTCTGATATCCCTTCAATGAAGCAGCTTCGTGTGTTTAACAGCCTCTCAGAAGGAGGATGATTCAAAGTTCCCACTGTAGGGGAGAAAATACACAATTTTCTTTCCCAAACACAGGTGGAGCTGCTCTTCTCTTTCAGACTGAGGTTAACATCTGTGAGGATTCTTCTTAAAGACACAAGGAATGACGTAAAGTAGCTGTCGTAGTACTCATCATCAAAATCAGCTTCTTTTGGTTCAACTGTAATCAAATCATCCTCAGGAACAGTGGACAGAGTGTAAACCTGCTTTGGATGCAGTTTGCAGTGAGGAGAAGTGTCTATGTACCTCTCATCTCCAATTAGTTTCCTCCTGGTGCGCTGTACGTCACGGATCACGACGTTCCTTGGAAGCAACAATACACTGAGCTGAGAGCTGAGATCAGGATCAACTGGGGGTTTGTAGAAGAGCAGAACCAAAGCTTGGACTGGGTCAGGAGGAGAGTCTTCATCCTTGACATTACCGTAACCAGAAAACCCTGTGATGTTTATAACAACGTGACTTTCTGTTATCTGCTGAGGGGTAATAAACTCGATGCCCTCATCATTCACATGAGCGACCTGCAAGAACTGACCTCCACCTGTGGAGATGAGCTCACAGTGTGGGAGACAAAGCTGACACACAGACTGCTGCTGACATTTAATGTCAAACAGGGGTCCTGCAGGCTTCTTGTGGTGTTGGGTCAGCAGCTTCCTGTTCCAGGGGACAGTCCTGTAAACCACGTCTCCTTCTGCCTTCATTAAAAACACCAGGCCGGTCACACTGCACTGGTACAGACCTGCACAGGAGCACTGGAACAGGTAGGTTTCATCATCAGAGTCATCAGCAGCGATGGCAGGTGAAAACTCCTTTAACTTCATGTCAGGTGAGCTTGCTGCTTGTGTTGAGTTGTTCTTTGGTATTTTGCTCAGTGAAGGAACGCTGCAGCAATCTGTGGAGGAGAGCTGGAGATCAGAATTATATGGCAGAGTTGTGGTACGTAGGATGTCTTCAGTTATGACAGGTGGATCTGCTTTTCCTGGTTTGTCTTCTGTCCATGAAACTGAAACTCTGCTTGTATCTTCTTCTAGTATTTCTTCTTGGCTCCATTCAGCTGAACAAGCAACAGTTGGGATATTGGACTGGGAGCAAGAAGGAAATGTGGAAAAATCATATCTTCTACTGCCATTAGTGCACAAAGCAGAGTCCTGTAAGGTGGAGAAGCTGTGAGACAGCAGTAAAGTAGTACTGTATTGCTGCATCTTTATGCTGCCTGGTTTCATCCAGGTGGATCGTGAGGAAATCCTTTTAAGGCAACGAAAATGAGGGGACGAAAAAGTAGTGGAGGTGGAGTCGCCTTTAACTGATGCAGAAGGAAAAAACAAGTGTGTGTAAAGATGCCTAACAGGAGGAACAGATGAAAAGGTAGTGGAGGTGGAGTCTGGAGTTTGTTCAGTTTTACGTGATGATAAAAACGGTGCATTGTGCCGCCTTGACATGCAAAAGTTTGGATTATGAATTGAATTGATTATGGTTGGTATATTTAGCTTGAGAAACTGTCTGTAAAAGGTGGAGATGGTGGTGAAAAGCTGGAGCACTCTAATAGATGTGTCAGAGGTCTCATTTCTCTCATTTTCTGTTTCTTTGTGGCTTTTTAGATCCATCTCTGTCCTGTGGTGAGTCTGAGCTTTCTTTGAATGCATTTCTTGTCTTGTTTCCGTGTTTCATCTTTAACTGTAATACTGCTTTTTCTTCATTGCTTGATTTGCACTTCAGTGGTCTCCATCAGCTGAGACTGGAAATCAAGAAACAATTGTCATCAGTGATCAGTAGATGCATTATTGCTTGATATCTGATTTCAAATAACACAAGGTTTAAAGTTTTAAAAAGACACTGTTTTCAAATTTTACCTTGAGTAAGTTTTGTGCGTTTTTAAATGTCATAATTTTATTGCACAGTTCTTTTGACTGTGATGATGCTTCTGTCTTTTCCATGGACTTTCAAAAAACAGCTATGCTTTATGGTTTAAACATTTTTTATCATGCATTAGAATAAATGACATGATACTGTATACCATAGGTGTCAAACTCTGGCCCGCGGGCCAAATTTGGCCCGCAGTGTAATTACGCCTGGCCCGCAAAGCCATACCAAATTACCATTAGAGATTATTTAGATAGATAGATAGATAGATAGAGAGAGAGAGAAAGAGAGAGAGAGAGAGAGAGAGAGAGAGA